CATCTGCAGTAGTTCCGTCAGCCTATCTGTGACTACTTCTCCACCTGCTTTAAGGATCTCAGGAGGTATGCCGTCTGGCCCTGGTGCTTTCCCTCCTTGTAGTTGCTTGATGGCCTTCTGAATTTCCTCCTGACTAGGAGGATCATCCAGGAAGGTCATAAGTGGTCGCTGTGGCATATCCTGGATCGCCTGTTGGTCGATGTTGGAGGGTCTGTTCAGTAACTGGCTGAAATGCTGTCTCCAGCGCTCAGTTATCTCACTCTTCTCAGTGAGGAGAGTGCCATCAGCTGAACGGACAGGTGCCATAGCGTTGGAAGAGGGACCGTAAACCGCTTTCAGGCCCGCGAAGAACTTTCTTGTGTTGTGTTCATCTGCATACTGTTGCAGTTCTGCAGCCTTAGCCTCCCACCATTTGTCCTTCATCTGTCTGAGTTCTGTGTTATAGTTTTATGTTAAGGTTATCATAATCATGCTATTTGATTGATATGATTTTGCTTTATTAACTTGTAGACTAGCCATGGCGATGTTCAGCGCCAGTGCGAAGATCATCAAGCCAGCAGGCGAGAAGCCTGATGAGTTTGAGGCCTCCATCTCTCAGGTTTGTGGGAACATAAATTTTTAAAGATTGACTTTTACATGTGACATTGGTAATTTGCCGTTCAAAAATCAGCTCGCTTAATGCTGCCATGTATTGAAGGTATTGTTTGAAAATCAATAGTTGTAGTAGACATCCTTCCATCAAATCAATACACAAAAATTACTACTAATACTATGTACATGTAGTAAGTAAGATATGACATTCTGTTGGTTATGATAACTATTGCACAATCATACTATCAGATCTGTGCACCCTGATAGTTGCCACCCATCTACAATGATCGGAGGTAGTTTCAGGGTGCATAGATAAGGTAACGGTGCAGGTTACACCTAGCATCTTTCAGATGTTCTTGAAAAATGCTCCATAAAACCTGCCACACTTACACTATATATTTAGTATGATACTACATTGTTACCATGCATATGTCAGGGTTCTAGCTAGGATTTAATTTGCTATGGCATCACCTGATGCCCTTGTTCAAGGGTCATGGTTGACATATGAGCATGCATACCAACAGACCTTTATTCATTGTCCACAGGCTCTTCTTGAGCTGGAGATGAACTCTGACCTGAAGGCACAGCTCAGAGAACTGAACATCACAGCTGCTAAGGTAGGTGTAGATTCACTACAATATTCCCCAACAAAGATAACTCGCTATCCACTTCAAAGATAAATCAGAGTTAGGTAGATGTGGGCAGTTGCCTTTAACTCGTAGAGTAAGATTTTGCGTGACATGCATGAAGTCATTTTGTAAGATAGCAGCAATATTTGAACATGTTTTCATAACGAAAATTTCTTTGCCTACTAACACCCTGCTGTGTGGTTGTTTACAGGAGGTTGAAGTTGGATCCAGCAGGAAGGCCATCATCATCTTTGTGCCAGTGCCGCAGCTGAAGGCCTTCCAGAAGGTGCAGGTGCGCCTTGTCCGGGAACTGGAGAAGAAGTTCAGTGGCAAGCATGTTGTCTTCATCGCACAGGTAGGTGCTCTCTGAGATTGATGTTTGTTGGAAAGCATTTGTTCTCAAGGAGAGCATTGTACTTGACTCTTTGCTATGTATGTGATACCTTTGGATTTAACAACAGAATAGAATCTGTCTGACTTAAATGAGCTAATGTCCAACCATATACATGTACGTAGTCATTAAAAAAGATTCTGAAATGAACCTTTTGATGCTGTCATCATGCAGCATTGCTGCAAAAAAGATCTCCTTACCTGACAGTATCATGTCAGGTAAGGCTACACTGCAGCTATATTGACTGTTTCATATTATAGCATAGCACAGACATCTATTGTGCATTGTGTCGGAGTGAAACTACATGTGCAAGAAACATAAATCATGGCTTCCTTGAAAACTAGTGAAACTGTAGTCTCAGACTCACTATTACTGGAAGAAACATACACTGTAAAGAATGTTCCCCATCTCAGCAGCAAGCTTATTTTAGAGTTGACACCCAGTTTATCTGAAGTATGACTGAAAATGTTCTTGTTCTTCTTACAGAGGCGCATTTTGCCAAAGCCCACGAGAAAGACAAGGACAAAGAACAAGCAGAAGCGCCCTCGCAGGTTTGGTCCAATTTATTGGTGATCGAGTAATACTATGTAGATGGATTGGCCATACTGGATGCTAAAATGGCTGTAGTTTTGAACAGTAGTTTGACAGTTTATTGAAAATACTTGAGGTATTTCTGTTGTTAATCATCATGCTGCAAAAAAGATCTCCTCAGCTGACAGTATCATGTTAGCTAAGGCTACACTGCAGCTATATTGACCGTTTCATATTACAGCATAGCACAGACATCTATTGTGCATTGTGTCGGAGTGAAACAACACTTTGTTGTGTGTGATTTTTTTTTTTACATGTGCAGGGAAAATATGTAACAACTTGAGTGTACTAATGATCATTGTGTTTTTCTCAGCCGCACCCTGACTTCTGTGCATGACAACATACTTGAGGATCTGGTGTTCCCTAGCGAGATTGTTGGGAAGCGCATCAGGATCAAGCTGGACGGAGCCCGTTTCATCAAGGTGCACCTTGACAAGGCCCAGCAGAACAATGTCGAACACAAGGTGGGAATGGTTATTCCTTGTCCCTGTGGGTCACCTCACAAAGACATCAACATATTACTAGAGTGGTTGCAATTATTAATTTCAAGCACTGTGCTGAAATGAAACAAGTCTGACCCTGGAATATTTTTAATGGTTGTGTTATTAGCTGGTAAGCTGCCGACGATCTTCCTGGCTAGCTATGTGTTTGCCAGGACAGGCCAAGTGCAGCTATATTAAACTGTTTCCCATTTGAACAGTGCACATGTGTATCTTGTGCACTGTTCTTATATGAAACAACACTTGAAAAGAAAAATGAAGCCCAAAGAAATGTGAAGCCAACATGATTGTTGCTCACTTTGTGTGTCAACTCTGGTGTAAGTTGCCTGTCTTCAACAACTTTCTTCTTTCATTTCCAGGTGGAAACCTACAGTGCAGTGTACAAGAAGCTGACTGGCAAAGATGTGACATTTGAATTCCCTGAGTACCAGCTGTTCTAAATGGGCAGGAAAATATACTGAAAAGCTATCCTGAATATTGAGTGGTGTGTTTTTTTTTGGTCAGTCGTGTTTGAATAGATACTCTTCTCATAATATACTCTTCCTATCATATTCTACTCATGCTACTGGTGTCAAGAGGTATCAGTGCATCGGATCTGTTATTAGATTCCTGAGGCTTAATGTTTTTATACAAATGAACAATACCGCCATGGCTAGTGACAACCATAAAATTGGGAATGTACTAATCATTTGGCTAAGCCTCTATCAGATTTTCCGAAGGGGTTCTTGGTAATAGAATACAGCAAAAAAAGTGAATTATTGGCCAGGTAATTTAAACCATCTCTATGGTGGCAAATTATTTGCCCTATTTTGCTAAATTTTACTAATTTTATGTTGGCATAGTTACTCTGGTTGAGACTACTTTCCGCTACTGAGAAGAAAGTTTAGTGCACCTCCATGGTGCTCCTTTATTCCTAAGTCAGCATTTGTTCAGGAAACAGTGAAGACGTCAGGCAACACACAACACAAACAAATGTGACAAATTGGTAAAAATGGTTTAATAGGCCACACTGTACGTATACTACAAGCACAAGACGACACATACACAGGTAGACTACAGTTTGTATTGGAATTCTTGGCACTAATCTCTCACCACATTTGTTCTATTATCCAATTTCCTTGACCTGATTGCAATACTATTTATAGCGGCCAATTATTAAGACAGATGAAGACAATCTAGAAGAAAATACTTCTGGTGCTAAAAACATTGTTATCTAAATAGTTTATCAAAATAACAATAAAAACGGAAAAATTACTCTACTGTCACGCGGCATGATCTACATTGATGAAGAAATTGGAGTTTAAAAATATGTCCTTGGTCATATCTCAGGCTAAGTTACAGGGTCCCCTTTTCCTTCCATTTGTTGCAGTATTTTCCTCAGGAGATGATCTGCACAGAAAAACAAACATTCATCAGTACTTCATGGATTATTGGTTGTTAATGCTGCAGAGTATTGACAGTAAATATTCTAGTAGGAGAGAACTATGATTGTTCATACCGATTTGACAGTAGTCTTGATGAAATCTTTCCTGTCTGTCAAGTCAAAGTCTGGATACTTCTCGTACACCTGGAAGTCAATATAATACAATCAATGAATTTGTTCATAGGAGGGCAACATTGGCACCAATATCCTGATACATGTACTATATAGCTCAAAGGGACCAAAATTACACATAAAGTGCTACATTTGCTCAGGCACACAAGGAATAAACCACTGATGGAGGGAGAATTTTGTACCCTCATAACAAGACTGCTTTGAAACAATGAAAACACCAGTCAATGTAACTTAAGAGTTTATATTCTCCATTTAAGTTTTCATTATCTCATTACAAGCCTTGCTTACTTTACTTCACTTAACTGTTCCCTAGTTTTACAATAAAACCCAGCGTTCTGACACACACCTGTTTGCAGACAGACTTCATGGTTATCTCCTCCAAGTTGGCCCCTTCCAGTATCTTCTTCACAACATCTTTGAGCTCAGCATTCTATAGCACCAAAACATATAATCTTAGTACATGTACAAATATCTACTGGTCTGCTTCCCTTTCATACCAATAATAGAAAGGGATCGTCAGTGCCATGTTTGCGAGTTGATAGATATATAGGATGTGCTTTCAACGCAATTCTGACATACACTGTTACAGTATCTTGATTCCTACATAACTACAGCCAAAATCAATAACACAAAAAGCCATGCCTGCTTTCACAAATTCACACCGACTGAATTACCCAGGTGAGATTTCATAACATACTAGTAGTATCCATTTTCAATATCACTGATGATAGCATGCTCATAAGCAGGCCTCTCCAGGTGTCTAGCAGAGGAAGATATGCTCACCGTGGGAGGTTTCTTGATTTTCTTGGCCAAGGGTTCATCATCCGATTCGTCGTCATCTGAACTGATCTCCACAGCTGTCATGTAAGAGGAAGTGAGGGTTACTTTACGTAGGGAACTACAAGGTCCAGTTCCGTACAATCTAGACCTGAATGGAATCTTTTGATCCATCGAGGCTATATTTCTGCTTTTGTCTAGCTTGTTTGTCTCTCTTGCCATTGCGATGTACTTGCAAACTTTACTATTACTTTTCAACTTGGTTTAAAAGTTTCCCATACCTGGTTTCTTCTTGGGTGTTGGCTTCTGCATTTTCACCTTCAGTTGTTTCTTTGGTGTCTTCTTGGGTGTCTTTTTTGGAGCCTTCTTGGGGACATCTGCCTTTCTCTTCTTGGGCTGAATACAATGGAAACAAACATGCATAACTTGAAGGATACACATGAGTTATAATTGAATTGCAATATATCTGACTCAATGTTTTACTTTTCATTTATCAGAATTTAAATAAAGCTTACTAAGGTATGTGTAAGGAGTAAAAGTTTTACATCATCTTGTCAGCATATTGCTGGTGTATTTAATTAGTTTGTGAAATCAATTCTACCTTCTCTTCCTCTTCTTCCTCCTCGTCACTTGAGTCATCATCGTCATTCTCCACTTCCTCGTCAGATTTCGCCTTCTGTTTTCTCCTCTTCTTTTTACCCCCTTCCTCTTTGTCAGCTTTGCCCTCTCCTTTCTTCTTCCTGCCTCTTTTCTTCTTAGGCTGTGGGATGGCCTGTACAGCAGGACAATCCATACCATAGGGTCACATCTAATGATATATCACTCCACTATGTACACAACACAGGCACAGAAAACAGTGAATGTCTGCTGAATCAACCTTGTCCAGAACAAAGTTCAACAGGAACAACATATAAAACTACTAGTAGTCTGCTTTTTGTCGAACATCTCAACCCCAGTGGAATCTTTGAAATGTGAGTCCAATACTCTGTAAAATGATTCTGAGAAAGTCAAGCGTTTTGCCATTTAGCTGTATGTATGCTCCAGACTCACCTTTCCGGATGATACCGGTTCCATCAGAAATTCCATGAGCTTTTCCACCAACTCATCCCTGTTGCCTTTCTTCTCAATGTCTAACGTGTCACAAAAGTACTTCAAGGCTGCAACAGTGTACCTGATTTGGGAAAAGTCAAATACATTTGTATTAGGGAACGCTAGTACTGTTGCAATGTAAGTATGTACACAGCCACCTTCAATTCAAGATGAAAGGATGTGAAGTATGCAGGTTTGTTTAGATACATATGCTATCAATTGGTTGCAGCAAACCCATTTTGTTTCAGCAGCTGCCTGTAGTAAGACATACCTCAAAATCTGTTCCTTCTTCTTCTCATACTCCTTGGAATCTTTCTCGAAATCAAAGCCACTGAACTGACGTATGTGTCTCTTGATCACAGTTGCCTGTAAAAGGGATATGCATCAGAAAGCATATTACTATTAGAAACAAAAAAGCTATTGAAAAGCCAAGAAAACACATTTCCATTTTTTATGACATTATGTTAGAATTCCCGTATTCTAAGCCACCTTTGGGATCTTAAGATATGGTGTGAGATTAAAAGAGCAAACAGAGAACTGCAAGATCCATGTGGACAGCATCTAGTCTACTCACTGCTCCACCCTTGTTAAACAAAATTCTGTGCAGTGGCTTCAGGTCCTCTGACTTGTTCCGCTGTAGCTGCCATTCAACTGTACACAACAAACAACATGCAATCATTGTTAGAGTTACACAATTCAAAGTTTTAAACTCTGCTGCAGGAGGCATGCAAAAGACATGTCTGCCAAAAATGATGTTACATAACTGGTAACATGTTATACTGGGTTCAGCAGCTTTACAGCTGCGGTTTCTTTGAAAAAGAAACAAGAAGCAACCTACCTCTCTCAATTTCACCCAGTTTGGTCCCCTTGCCCTTAACAAGAAAAGACAAAGAGGTAAGCATATCACTAGCTCCTGAATTTGTGGATTACAGCATCATGATCAGATGTTACTAGTATGTGGGTTGTTGCAGTGAACAGAATGATCTTCAGACTTCTCAACAGTGCATCCTACATGACCAACACGGTCCCATATACAAAACATTTTTGTCCATTTCTTCCTCTCTAGCCCTTACAAATCAATATCCCTTATGAACCTATTACATCTACATCTAATACAGTAATAGCTAACTGGTAGATTTCCTGCCCACCTCTGGAATCCTGAACTCTTCCTTTGGGGTGGTGATGACCTCCACCTCAAGACGTTCTGTTTTCTTCCGTTGTCTCTTCCCTTCCACCACAGGGTCCTTCTCTAAAAGGCCAACTGGTAATATGGAAACATTACATTTATTACTAGATCTTGACCTATATCAACCAAAATTGATACATGACTACATGAGTAATTTGTGACCAAATCCTTCTCATTTTCAATAGTAAGGATTACTAAGGAATGTCCGGTAATCGTTCTATAGTGTTTTTGTCCGCCACCAAAGAAACCTAACTTACCTAATTCCTCATCACTACTTTCATCATCTTCATCCTCCTCATTGGGTTGTTCCTCCTTGGGTTTTTCCTTCTTGGGTGTTTCTTTCTTGGGCGTTTCTTTCTTAGGTGTTTCTTTCTTGGGCGTAGCTGCCTTCTGTGGACTCTTCTGAGGACTTGATGTTGGTGTTGCCTCCTGCATTTAAACGACATTCAAATTCACAAGTCAGAACTATGGTACTGGGAATAAAAGAAAGATGCATCCTGGCATAGCCGTGGACGACTATGTAACCCTTTTAGCATGATAATGCCGGGTACATAGTCGTGGAAAGCACCATAGGCCAAAACCAACCTTTGCCGTGCCGGGCCTCATGCAACGGGCCGGCCCCGTTTTTTTGGTGTCGCTGGCTTCCTAACGCACTCCCCTGCCGGGCCGGGGGGATAAGATCCTAAACAAACGCAGCATTTAACCACAACACGGCCTCGGAGCACGTAACTCCATACAAATCATCGGCGATCGACGCCATATTGAATGCAGGAATCGGTCCGCAAAACAGGCCGGACCCTGAGTTTACGTCAAATTACGTCACATACTTGCAGCTTGAACGTTGGAGAGTTGAAAATAACTGTCGTAAACTCAGGGTCCGGCCTGTTTTGCGGACCGATTCCTGCATTCAATATGGCGTCGATCGCCGATGATTTGTATGGAGTTACGTGCTCCGAGGCCGTGTTGTGGTTAAATGCTGCGTTTGTTTAGGGTCTTATCCCCCCGGCCCGGCAGGGGAGTGCGTTAGGAAGCCAGTGACACCAAAAAACCGGGGCCGGCCCGTTGCATGAGGCCCGGCACGGCAAAGGTTGGTTTTGGCCTATGGTGCTTTCCACGACTATGTACCCGGCATTATCATGCAAAAAGGGTTACAGAGTCGTCCACGGCTACATCCTGGCATTGAATTTGCACATCTTTCATTTCATATGCTGCACTTTCATCTCCCAAACTCTCAAAGTTCGACTGTTGACTTCTAGTTGCCTATCCAGGATATAGTGATGTTTACCTTGCACCTTTACCTTACACCATATTATTATTGGCATATAACCTCCTTGACCACAGCAAACCAGATGTGCATACACAACAACGCCCCCTATCGACAAGCCCGCCATTGGCAAGCTCTTATATCCTTGAGTAGTAAGTATTATGTTTGTCACAAATCTACATCTACAACCTAGCAATATTTACACTTAAGGTGTGGTACCAAAATGTATGTCGACAATCATGTATGTTTGCTGATAAGCGTACATATTCGACCAATAACATAAGTGCAGTGCAGTCCGCTCTGTTGTTTTCTACGAGTCCCTAGCCATCAATCACACCGATTTTGTGACATTTTCTTGTGGCGGAGAAAGTAACCATTTTATATGTCGTCAACAAAGTTGCGATACCCAGGCGACAGCCACTAAATTGAAAACACCAGCAGTCAGTACATATCATCAGCGTTATCGATATCAGGAAGAAACTGGCGTCATTTTTGATACCCTAATGAACAATGCCTTTTGTTAGGCGGTGCTCAGGCGTGCGTTTCATGTGCAGGTTGTATGCATGCAGGTACGATGGGGGCCGGGGAGCACATTTTGAATGGAAAATCATGCCCAACTGAGGATGTAACTACGCAACTATGAATTGCTTCTAATCTATAACTACGTGACAATCGAAAGAAAAGTAAAGTTCGTCTTAATTCACCTCAGTAGGAGAGTCAGAGGACCCGTTTTCGCTCTGCTCAGACATCGCGTTCACACCTTCCAGATTACAAAGATGGCGGCCACAAAAATGGCGGGAAACGAAACTAAAGCTGACCAATCACCGTCCGCCTTACAAATTTCAACTTTTATCCCTGTTCGCAATGAATTTCTTCTTTCTGTGTGAAGTAAATATAGTAATGTAAACAGGAGGTACAAATAGTAGTGACTTGTCTGTCCCCATTGTTCAAAAACTCAAAAGAATTCAACATTTTCAAGATTATGCACATCTCGCAAAGTCTCGTTAGTTTATAAAGTACCATGGCGAGAATTTGCGAGAGGAGTTCACTTCCGGTTCTTGGTCACTTCCGCCGTGGAATGTTTGGAAGAAGAGACCGAAAAACTTGCGAGTGGTAACGACATTTATTTGACGATACTTGGGCGTTCTTGTGCAATTGGAGTCTCCAGGTAAGTGTGAGGAAAAACATAAGTCATGTGTATATTTCCTACTTTCTTATGTTTGTTTATTTGACGTTGTTTACGTCGATTTTCACTAGTGAACTGATCAGATGCAAATAACTTGCTCGACCGCCTTCCCAAAATTTTTTAGACTCGATAATTTACATATGACTACCATAAAATATGTGTTGCAGCGGTATTGCAAAGATAAATAGTCATGTCACTTAGCTACTAACGAATTTTGCACCATTCACTGTGGATCGATATGTAGCGTAATGATTTTTAATAGGAAGTTGTCTTTCCTCTCACGGCGATTTACATCCTTGGTTACGTGCGTACACGTTCGTGGGTTCAGGACCTGATAGTAAGACTGTGCAGTGGACGATCACCTGCTGTCATTCGTGTGGGCGAAAAACACGTCAGGACGATTTCTGCGTCATTGCAGACCGTAAAGGTTAGGTTCCTGGAAACAGTACAAAAGTCACGAACACAAAGGTTAGCCGCAGACGTAGAAAATTAATGAACATAATCATGGCCCACTAGCCACTACACATAACGTTACAACTTGTGGACAGGAGGTTTGGTCTAGCCTAGGTGCCAGACTGTTTCCAGGGCCTGCCCAGACCACAGACCAGTTCCTTGGTTCCAGGGCCAACATGCCCCAAGGAAAGTATACCACAGCCCCCCTCAGTTAGGACCTGATCCCTGAATGGCTTATTATGCAGCACACTGTAAATTGGCGCACTATGGTCCAGGCATCCAGACTAGGACAGGTCATGGTCATGGTCAGGTGTAGACAGCAGAGATGAGTCATGCAGCCCTGAAGAACCTTTGATGTAAGAGGGTCCCAGCTTCACCAGCAGTGCTCAGTGGTCATTCCTGTGCCAGAACTGAGTGTAAATCTAGCAATCAGATGTAAATTGATACCTGATATGTGTAGAAAATTGAATTGTATAATATATCCCAAGTCAGTGGTGTATGGTGATATGAGATTGACATGATTGTGTTGGATTGTTTTTGCTGGAAACAGAAAAGAGAAATGATGACCATACTGATTCTTTTATGAAGATTGTGTCTCTCTCTAACCTCCTCTGTAATATCTTCTAATTTGTTGCATTGAAATCTATGCTCTGAAATCTGAATAATTGATTATAGTCTTCCATTCAGCAGGATGATGTGATTGATACTTTCATTTCTTTTTGAATACTGTAAGTGCATTCAAAGTTCATTTTCTACAGTATTAACAGTATTATCATTTTCAGAACGTTTTAATTACATTGCTTAGTGCTTCTGACTAAAAGAAGCAGTTTTCATCCAATGAAAATGTCATTTGTGTCCAATGCTTGCTTATGAAATAAGATGAGACAACTGAAGAATTCAGATGAAATATTCAATGGCATTGGTAGGTGCTATGTCTTCCTGGTTGGCCTATAGAACCTACAAAACTACAGAAAGTTGAGCAGTGATACACTGTATCATGCTATAATGTGATTACAGCAAAGTGTGGATGATATACATCGCTTAGTAAACCCATTAAGGATACCCTTATCAGATCTTTGCATAAGTGATCCACTAAATACTTCTGCTTGTAAGACAGCTAAGGTCGTCATTTTGCTTTACATCTTCACCAATAATAACAGTTTTTCTATGATTTTGTAGGGAGGATGGAGACTGAAGGAGACTAGAACCGTGATGCAGTCACCTGTTTCAGCATGTGTGATATTGCTGATAACTTAGGCAAGTGTACAACGTGATACTTTCTATATCCCATCACTGTCACTGTACCAATAATAATTATGAAAGTTGAAATTTTTAAAACTAATTTAAAGATGTCAGAGCCCGGGAGATGTATTGTTTAGAGTAATTGCGAGTAATACTAAATGCATACTTGTATTTTGGAACAGGAATACATTATAGCATACTAGTAATTGTTCTCTTATGCCAAAGGTCCTCAGAATTCCCACAAACCTAAAAGGCTTATTCTTTCTCCAGTTGTAACCAGTCTTTTCTTTAAAATCTTGCCAAAATGTGTGAAGACAGGGCATGTATAAGTTATGATAAGTGCTGTGTACTTCTAGTTCTATTAATAGTGCCAGCCACTTTGCAAGAGTCACCTTGTGAAGTTGTGTAATAAATAATAGATCAGTGTTCCTAAGGATGTAGCAATCTCTGAACAGAAGTCTCCAAGTGGGTCAATTTTGTCACAACTCTGTGAATAATGGAAACAAATTGGCTTCATGGATACACTTGTCATGCATATTGCAAAGGAAAGCACTTCTCTACAGATGCAACCTGATTTTTCAATGTCAGTTGAAGTGCCTATTGTAACTACTGACGCATACAGGCAGAGGGATTTGGTCGAATGCCAAGATGAAATTAATGAAGCCGTTGGTTGCAGAAGACAAGTAATCATACAGTAATATTTCTCACCGGTACTTGCACTATTGATCGTTTGGAAATCATAAATGATTTGTGCTGGATTGCTTGAAAACTACTAGTATATTATGTAATACGTATACCCTGGTACTTACCCATTCGATCGCTGATGGACCATAAATTGTTTGTGCTGGTTGGTTGTTTTAGGCAGTTTGTCAGGTAATACTAGTTTACGTGACCACATGCTGGGATTGGAACAGACTGAACAGACGTGTTATGATCCTGGTGGTTTGCTTCTTGCATAGTTGATAATTCATGCATTGTCTTTTACAGAAAAAATTGAATCCTAGAGAACTGTGACCATGGCTGTGAGTAACAGGGAGGGGGACCTGTCCATTGACCCTGCAGTCAGCTGTAAACTGTGTCTCACAGAACAGACACTGTCGGACATGTTTGAGCTCAAACAATGTGGATGTTCCTTCTGCACTGCAGTAAGTGCAAAGATTAATCATCTTATGGTGTCTCAAAGGCTTGAATTGTATTTCTTTATTTTCAGTTCAGGTCTGTTTTTGTAAAAGATGTATTTGACAAACAAAGAAATGTGAAACTGTTAAGTTGTACGGGGTACATATGTTCTCAAGATACTGTGTCACAAAGGGCAGGTTTGTATGCATGATTAAAAAATGATTCTACTTTTTTTGGAAGGTAAACAGATTATTGAAATGCTGGGTTTTGGACTGTGTAAATTAAAGTAGCTTACTAGGACATTTGTAATAGCTCTTTCAGAACAGTGCAAATCATTAACAAAGTCAGGGACAAACTATAAGATTGTGTATGTCGGAGGAAATGTGTGATTCCTGCCAAGAATCTTAGGTAGGTGACCTTTAAAGGATGGCAAATTGCCATGAGATTTTTACTTTGTTAGCTTGTCTGCAGAAAAAAGGAGTAGGGCACAGTTAATACTATAATAGTCAACATAAACATGTTTATTTCTTTGATTTATTCAATATTGTGTTTCTATGTCTGTTGTTTGTTGACAGTGTATGAAGCAGTACATCCAGGTGATGGTTAGAGAGGGCACTGTTCTTGCCCTGACCTGTCCAGATGCCTCTTGTCCTAAACAGGGTACACTGGAAGCCTTTGAGGTCAGTTATAGTCTGTTTACCATGCACACAAACAAGTTGACAAGGTGCAATGATTCAGTTGTAATATGTGGTACATTCCAATCAGCTGATTCCAATTCACATAAAAGAAACACATACTCCCTGCTTGCTTGCTTGCTTATTAAACAGTGCAGATAGCAAGATTTGGTTTTAAGCTAGCTTGTGGCATGGGGAAAGTCAGTAATGTCTGCTCTTTAATCGTACATGCTGGATAGATTAGGTCTGTACTAATAAACGGTTCCCTTTTATAGGCCTGCTTAACTTGGCATAGTTACTTGCAGACTTGATGTCAAGAAAATGTCAACATTGTTTTAGTTGGCATTACACTGGTGGTAAAATTTCCTTTGTTTTTTTAGGTGCAGAAACTTGTGGACCAAAAGCTGTATGATAGGTATTGTAAGCTGAAGTTTGAACAAGGTAAGGGAAAAAAATTTCCTTTATCAACTATTGCGAGTCAACAGCACCTTTTTTTGTCATGAACACATGAATGGCAAAATGTTTAAATGACATTCTAGTATTAGATTGTATTTTGAATAAGGTCAGTTATAATGTAAAAGATTCTATGCTGACTTGATTGTAACTTGTAAAATTACAGGCATAATCTACTATTATTCCAGCCAGTGTTCTAGTGGTGTTTTTCATCTCTTTGTTGAGTAAATCTTGTAACTTTTAAGCTCACATGCCTATGTTTTAATGGCAACTCCATAGAAGTTGATCTGGACCCGAGGAGAACATGGTGTCCTCAGGCGGGATGTGAGACCATCTGCCATGTGTGCTCCAGAGACCCCTACCAGGCCTCTCCTGTCAAATGTCCAAAGGTACATCCTACCTACATGTACTTCCCATTGTCATCTCAAATTATTTAATATAACATTAAATGGTGGGTGTCAATTTGATATATGTCATATTGGATACTTTTTTATGTCAGTGTCATGATGTTTCCATACTTACTGTATGACATTTTACCTGGCGAGAGTAAGGCAGTGCCGTTTTGTACATCAACTCTCTTTTCCCTTCCAGTGTGGCCTGAATTTCTGCTCAAGGTGTAAATTGAAGGTAATGTACAATCTGTTTGCCATTTAGTGGATGGTGCAGTTCTAAACTTATACTTGTGTTGTCTACGTTTCTCAACAGCCATGTGAAGTTTTTCTATCTAAAAATGCATTCTGCTGGGTAACATTCTGATAAGAGGGCCTGTAAGGGGGGGTAGTGATTACGAATTACGCAAAATTTTCGCCGCCTATTACGAATTACGTTAAAGTTTCAGAGCTGATTACGACTTTACGATTTGCGGCTAATGTCCAATTACGAATTACGCTGATTTTTGCGGAGTCTGCCTACGAATTACGAAGTCTAAAACGGCTTGATTACGCCTTACGAAAAAGGGCTTGCAGGCCCTCTGATAAGGTACATGTGCTACATTTTACAAGTGATGTGGTTTTCAAGAAGATTCTTTTGTTCTTCCCCAGTGGCACACAGACCTGTCCTGTGATGAGTTTGTCAAAAGTGGAGCTGGCTCTTCACTGGATTTGGGGTAAGTTTGTTTTTACACTTCTTATGGGTTAACAGAGACTTTCATGATAAATTTGACTTGGACTTTTCACAGCGGACACAAATAAAGACTTCCCATAACTACTTCTTTGCTAATACAGGTACATAGCAAACCTTGTAAGGCTGATGGCTCCAAGCATGATATTTAAGGAGTACGCAAGACTGTAATGTATGACCCATTTAAGCCAGGAAAGACCCATTCTCCTCCGATAAGTGTGGTGGCTCCTTTTCAGGGCAAACACTCTAACTATTACCCCACACACAGCCTCGCCCCTTTTTGATACATATTCTGAACTCTTCTGTCCCAGAATCCCGTTCCAAGCTGATGAAGATGCCATAGTGAAGAGGTGTCCCCATTGTCACCTGCCAATAGAGAGGGACGAGGGATGTGCACAGATGATGTGTAAGAGATGCCGACATGTCTTCTGTTGGTACTGCCTTGCATCTTTGGACGTAAGTACTCATTGCAGGCATTGCAGCAAACATTACTGAATTGTCAATATTTATTGTTCATTGATCCAACAATGCTACAAACAGTGGTAAGGACATTTTACTGTTAGAGTTTCCTCTTGATTAGGGGAATTGTTTGCTCAATGCTCTATGCCTGTATTTCCTTCTCCAGGATGACTTTCTGCTGAGGCATTATGACAAGGGTCCATGCCGCAAAAAACTAGGACATTCCAGGGCATCCGTTATTTGGTACAGGACACAGGTGAGAGTTTGGGTGGAAATTATTGTTCTTGTAAACTTTAGTCAAATGAAGAAAATCCTTTTCTGAAATACTTGTATTTGTAGGTTCACAGACCACACAGGTTTACCAACTGTGAAAGATACAAATTTTAAAGAAACTCAAGCAACTGGATACATTTTGAAAACTTTCATCTGTGACTCTTTCCCCAATTTTACCACAGCTCCCAAGTTTCTCCAGAATCTAACTTGTGGCTGTGGTAAGATTTCCTTGGAGGCATGTTGTCCCCAGAGCTGAGGAGCTGGCCTGTGTAGGCCCTGAAAACAGTTTAGCATGCAGGCTATTAATAATCGTTTTATTCTGTTATGAAAACTTATATGACCCAAGTTTTCTCCCCAGGTTGTCGGCCTGTTTGCTGGTTTTGGTATCTTACTCCTCGTGGCCTCCCCATTCCTCCTGCTGGCAGCACCCTGTCTGCTCTGTGGCAAGTGTGTGACCAGCAAGGCTTGTAAGTCATGCTGCAGCGACGAAGTTCCAGACAACAACGTCGAACTCTGACAAACTTTGGCACGGGAAGATGCTGCTACATCCGTCATGCAAATCTCTGCACATGATCCTCAGCGGTGCAATCATTGTCGGGTCAAACTGACTGAAATGTATTCTTTGGTGTTTGGGGGAGAACATTTATCTTGCAATAACCTTTTTTATGAACATGTATCCAGAAGAAAGGGAGAAAAGTGTAAAAACATTATTATAATGAATCTGCCATGTAAATTACATGGTTATGAAGTAGGAAATTAAATTTGTTTCTTTTCATAGGTAACAAAATTGGTTGGTCACCAATAATTGTGTCTTGATGAGGGATTCTATACTGGTAACCGCAAAGCCTGTTAGCTTTTTAGCTCATAAAGTTTATGGATAACAGTTATGTGTGTTTGTCTCCTCATCATTGTGAGAAGTATTGGAGAGTAAGTCTAATTGTAATGTAGCTACTTTTGTGATATTTCAGAGAGGCCTGTTGTACATAAAACAGCTCATTTCTCTTGTACAGCTTGGAGGGTACAGTATGATGTCACAGATGTATCCAGTGGGAAATGACTGTTACTCTTCTAACATATTCGAACTTCACTTTCCCCACACAGTGTATGTATTTTGTTCATCAGTACTTGTGCAGTTTGATTTTTGCAGTAACAAAATGTATTTTAGTCATTCCCATGTATGTTTAGTTGTGTTCTCCATTAAGTTGGCATAAGTATATTTTTCATCTGCCAAATTAAGTCTGTGTAACTTTACTTTCTTTAATCCTCCTTGTGTCCATTTGGATCAATTCAGCTGGAAATCATCATCAAAATACAGTACTCTTTTTTAAATCTTACCACAAGTATTTTTAATCATGTTTTCTACAAGGGAAACACATCAAATACCATTGCCACTATTACAATAAAGTGGTGTGAAAGCATCTAAAACCATGTTGAAAAATGTAGCACAATTCCTGTATCTAAATCATCTAAACCTGACAGTTTAGAAAGACATGAGTAGCAAGTGGTAAAAGTTCTTGTCAGCAGGGTAATAGGATTTGATTTTTAGAACTCCAGAATGCACCATTGAATAGGGGATATAAATGTAGGATTTATTAAAGGTCTCATTACCGTCTGAACTTTGGTAACTCATATTGGTATTTGCTGGATGTAGCCTGGGTGCGTGCCATCCTCCGTACCTCTTGCCAGCTCCCTAATATCAGCTGCCTTCTCAGAACTCTTCTCATATCATGAAGGTCAGAGATCTGCCTTTACTTTTAGTTGATAGTGCAATACTCAGTACATGGTTTGACTTGTGTTATATTTGCCTTCTTCATAGATGTTGTATGAGTTCTAACTAAATCCATCAGCAATACTGTAGCATTATGATAAGGATCACAGATGGAGCACTTTTGATAACTCATTTCTTTGTTTGAAGCTCATTGATTTGATATTTGCCCCCAACTTGGGGAACAACAGTATGTACTTGTATAAACAAGCAAAACAAAAGCTTAAGAATCTGTAACAACTGTCCAATGCAGTATGTAAAATGACATTCAAATTTTGTATACATGTACTTCACTGTCCATCCTTAAGCTCATATTTACACAGAATGACGTTGGTCTGTTTTCAATGTGTACTAGTGGTGTAAGTGAAAAGGAAATTGTGCAGTGCCAGTGGTGGAAGCTCTCTTAAAGTGTACATTAATATTGTTTTGAATGACTTGCCATATACAGCTTTAACACTTCCATGTTCACTGAGTCCCATTCCAGAGTTTACATTCCACCATTGATCTCTAGTACAAGGCTGCTTTAATATATAAGAAGAGGAGGATGATTTGTTTTAGACCAAAGATGCACCAACAGCTTCTTTGGAAAGTTTAGAATGATTAAACAATGAATGTGATATGGATGATCATAAGTGATGTGTTTTTTTTTTGTTTTTTTTTCAATTTATTTGACTTAGTGCATTTTGCATATATAACTATTTATAGATGCCACACTGAGTTGTTGAGGAGACCAAGGACATTATACATTCTTGTATAATGTCCTTGCTGAATTCATGAAACAGACAACCTCTTTCTCTTTTCCTTCTTAGGCTCAGTGTGAAGTAAATAAAAGAATTGAAATAAATAAAGTGACGTGGAAGCCATTGAATTCTATTTTGGATATTTTGGAGTTGGATTCTATTTTGTGACCATCACTTAATTTTTTTTAATGGATAGCATTGCAGGGTCCAGGGTTTGGTGTTATTAAAGGGGGAAATTTTAGACCAAGGATTTGATAAACCTTCATGCTTGGAAAGGATTTTTAAATGCCAGAAATAACAAATTTTTAGGACAAGACCTTATCCTCTAGCTTATCCAATGATTTTTACAAGTCATCAAATTTCTATTCATTTATTTTCATAGAAATGATTTTATTCATCTTCCATCCCTTTTCCCTGATCCCTTTCATACCTGGCTAACACAGCACCAATCATTGTCACGCTGCCCACGTGTTTGGGAATGACTAATGAATATTCATCAAGAAAACGCGCGAAAGCCGACTTACTGCCACTTTTGCTTGTAATCTTCCGACAACAAATGACCTCATACGAATTTTTTATTTGTAAAATACTTCCTTTCACTGTCGAGATTGATAATAATAATCTATCGAAAAGTTACCCAAGATAGCGATTGATGGTGTCGTAATACCTCGAGGATCGTCTTTGAATTATATATCTGCTCAAACCGATGGGACTATTTTCTCGTATGCGGAAGGATTTCTATTGACATTCATCCCTTCCAACGTGTGTTGCCACATTCTACCGGTAGCATCCGAGGGATTTAGGTGTGTTGTGTTTTCGTTCTAGTTTTGGTCACTTTTTGGTATCGAAATGGCACAAGAAGAAGTAGGAGAAGAGACCAGCAAGTACCTGCCACAGCTCCTTGCAGAGAAGGACAGTTTGGACCCGTCATTCGTCCATGCATCAAGACTTATTGAGGAAGGTGCGTATGTCAGAAAATGGCGTGGGGCAGCCGGCGTCGTTCTTTGTTCACATGTCAAAGATGGTTAAAATCCTCACACCTTCGAATGCCAGGTTTTGACGTTTTTGTGTGCCAAAATTCCCCATATATTCGTATGATATGGCGACGTACGCTTCTGAAGGGAATGAAAAACATTTATTCCAGCATTTTTTTAAACAGACAAAGAGGAGCTTGATCAAAAACATAATTTTTCAGCGGTCCGCTTGCTTCCGGTCTGTCTCTCTCTTGAGTCATGTGTTCCTGTACAATATTTACAAAGATAATGTTTTCCTCATTTGCCTGCTATATGTGTAACTATCACACCTTTAGACTTTTTGAAACGGAAGAGAACAAAGTGACCGCAAAGGATTTCCGGACATCAACTGAAATCACAGCCAGATTCGTGGGGAGGGGGGCAAACTTCCTGTCTGCATGTCTACACACCATATGTCGTCTGGTTTTGGTCTCTTCTGCTATTGAGCGCATTTTCTACTGAACCTTATCCAGTTATGTTTAGACACACAGGCTAGTGTAACCAACTTGGAGATTAGGCATTGGGTGAAATTTATAAAGAATAGCGTTGGTCTTTGTTTTCGAGTTATTCAGATTTTGACACAAAAGCATCATGTGTACACCATATTCTCCCCTCATCACAAATCATATAAAATTGTGAGGTTTACTGAGTAAGATGTGCATGATGTTACTGTTAAGTTTCCTGCTGCACTTTGCTCACATACATACACAAATAAAACCCTATCCAAGTCACCAACAGAATGTGATTAGTTTAGTGGTTTATACATGCTGCATGCAGAGGTCTTATGACGTTATGTCAACCTCCACAAATTTGGGTCACAGTTACTCTATAATGGTATAAGTCCTATTGAAAACATTGTCCAGTTGGATTATCTAAACAAAACAGACCTTGCATAGCCTGGAAGTCTTTCTCACATAACTGTTGTGAAAAGTGTTTTGAGAGTCAATGTTCTCTTTGTAGAGATTTCAGCTATTGTAGACAGATGTATTAACACCTGCCAGCAGACTGTCCTGATAACTGTCATGCTAATTACCTGTGCTAATTGGGCAAGAAAAAGCCATTGTCCCGTGGCTGGACAATACATGTCAGTTGATTTTTCCAGATGAGCCCCAGACATGGTGTCCTTTGTCCAATTTTGCTAGTGTAGAATGGTGTATTTCTGAGCCCAGCTGGTATATTTGGGTTTGGATTCAAAATTTTGTTTGATCCCTGAAGAAAACGCTTTCTTTGTTGTGAGTGACAAAAGCATAAAGAAAGGTGCTGCAGGGCTAATTTGCACCGAAAGTACAGTAACAACTTTCTTCCTCAGTAATAAATAACATTAAAATTTGTACCAGTGATGCGTTAGAAAAATGTACCAGTACTATTTTTGATCAACATTCATATGTCGTTGCAGAAATCTCCAAGCTTGAGAAGGATGACAAGTCCAAGGAGCCGCCAAAGTACAAGGAGGTGCACACAGACAAACCATACCGCATCTTGGAGAGAGTCCTCATTCCTATAAAAGAGTATCCAAAGGTCAGTTCTCGGTCTTAAACATCTAAGCCAGACCAAAGGGGTTTTTACAATACTGAACTGGGTTGTTGGAAAATATATTTCAAGGAGCATTGATTTGTATGATACACAATAGAAGTAATACCCTTCTTGCATCATTGCTGATAAGCCTGCATGTATGTATGTATATTGTGATTGTTCTTGTCGTAGCAAATAGGAGACCACAGTTTTTTTGTCCCCAAAGTGAACATCAGTTTACATAATTTGGTTACCTTTCAGTTCAACTTTGTTGGGAAGCTCTTGGGTCCAAAGGGTAACTCGTTGAAGCGCCTACAGGAAGAGACTCGCACCAAGATGTCTATTCTGGGCAGAGGATCCATGAGAGATAAGAAGAAGGTTTGTTGATGGTATATTTTATACATTCATGATGTGCACACATCAGTGTTTCCGCCAGACTGCAGCTGAGAGGCCGTCCAGTTGGGAAGGGCCGGGTCGCGAAAATTAATTAACTTAGGGAACACGTCGCGAAAATTAACTGAGGGGGCGGGGCATTTGTTTACACTTGTTTACAAGTTGAAACTGTCCACAAGCATTCCACATTTTTTTGTATTGACATAAAAACACTGTTACAGATGGCAAACGTATCGTAAGGAAATTATACTGTTGCAAAACTCTGCTGCAAAACTCCAAACATCGGCATCATTTAATTATTACCTCCGGTAGCGCCCGCGCTAGCCGGATCTTTAATAGTGAAGAGCCTTGCTTTGTTCGTACTCGTACTTCTTCCGTACATTTCCGCTACGAATTACTAGTTAATATCAAGCCAAAAATACGTCAAAACATGTAAAGAAACGTCATCTTATCTCTCATACACGAGACAAATTTTGAAAAATAATTGGCTGTATCGTAGCTTTCGTTGCTGTTTCATTCAACAAAAATGCTCCTTGATTGTAAAATGATCACTCATCTGTTGTCTCCAGTACAGTGTCAAATGGTAGCGTGATCGTAGCGTGCGAAAAATCGGTGTTAAATTTAACTTAAAAGTCAGAAAATCGCCGGAAAATGAACTCGCAGCACACAGTCTCAACCTCGCCGGAGAGAAGGAAATACGCGCCATTTTGTCATTAATATGTAAGTAGCAGCGTGAACTCTACACTCTGATTGGTTGACCTCATATGACCTGCGCTCTGATTGGATAGAGCCATCTTTGCCGGCATAGCTGCAGAATTTGTTTGTTGGCGAAGAGAGCTATACTACGCTACTTTTTACGGTGTTTCTACCGCTAATTAGTAACATTCCACGCCACGAACGAAATTCATTATGAAGAATTTTTGGGAAAATGTATGCATCCATATGCCGATTTGTGGTGCCTTTCGCGTATTCAAGCAAGCCGGAAGTGTTAGCGAACCGCGGCGTGGATAGCGAACTGCGGCGTGGATTTTCATGCAACCCGCCCGCTACAAGACCATCAAAAACGTAACTCCCAAAAGAGAATTTTCACATCCGAAATGATTCTGTTCGAGGAAAATGTTTGTGGATACATTTTACCGGATGGAGACTTGAAAAACGGGTTTTAATGAGATTAACGTATGCGAAAGGCGCCGACATCAATTGTTCGTCAGCATGATAACAATAGCAAAACAAACAACGTTTGTCTTTCTTGCCTTGGACGGCGTCCTCGTCTACAGGAACAAAACAAAGACTGTCAATTTCTCTGATTTTTCCGAGTCTCGAATTTTTTTTAAGAGGTACGGCCTCTGTCCGAGTTTAGGCCGTCC